GATACTATTCTTGCTGAAACATTTATTAGATAAAAGACTTCACCAGTGTATACTAATGTTGCTGTTCTTGCATCTCACAGGTTCATTCTCTTCTAGAATTCTTAGGTTGGCTCCGAGGAACAATATTTCCTAGGCATTTACATGTTCCTGAGATTTTTATTTGCAGGGCATTTTGACTGGTTTTTAAATGCTTGGCATGGATTTTCTTTCGTTTTGTTTTGTTTTGTTTTGTTTTTGGTACTGGGGATCAAACTCGGGACCTTGTGCTTGCGAGGAAGGCGCCAGAACCACTAAGCTAAATCCCCAACCTGAATTTTCTTTTTTAGGTGGTCTTAAATGAGTTACTCCATGTCTTATGACCTAGTGTTGATAATAAATCTGATGACATTTTGATTTTCCCTTCTAAAGACTTTGTCATTCTGTCTAGATATTTAGATCTAGTTGAAAGCTTCTTATGGGTAAGACTGTGGACAAGTACACATATGGCCTCACATATTGAAAGTATCTGGAGACTGGATAAAAAAGATGTGGTTTTTAAATAAAATGGAGTACTACTGAACCATAAAGAATGAGAAACTAGAGACATTTATAGCTAAATGGACACATATTGAGGCCATACTCATAAGTGAGATGAATAGGACACACATGTGTAAATACTGAATAGTTTCTCCAGTGTGAGAAACTGAAAGTGTAAATAGTAATTAAAATGAAAAATTGATAATTTGAAATAGGAAGAAAAGGTCTAAAGGGGTAGGGGTAGTGGGAGGGGAAGAGGAAAGGAAAAATTATGAGAAAAGAAAAAAATGGAAGCAGTCTATGTAAATAGGGAAGGGTGGAGGGGGTGAAGAATGCACAGGTAATGGGAAAAAAATATGAACCAAGATACATCATGTACAGGTACAAGCACCCAATGATAAATGTAAATGTATTGTTGACCTAAAATGTACCAATAAAAGAATTTAAGAAAAAGAAAAAAAAAAGTATCTGACGTTTTTTTTCCTCAGGATAGTCTTTTTGGTTTGAAAAAGGTACAGTAGGAGACACATAAGCCTCACACACTAGATACTCAGAGCCAGTTGGTTGAAGGATGTGGAGGACTCAGCACTGTATGTTTACAAGATTTTACTTAAAGTACTCATTTTGTACTGTGGTATTTTATTTTCTCCTTACCTATACCTGGTAGATCTCCTAGGCCTCAGCTGTCTGCTCAGAACTGTGTTTTGAGCAAATCTCTGTAGTTAGGCACAGAGATGAATAGTTCCACATGTGACTTGCAGAGGATATTCTTAATTTAAGAAAAAAAATAGATTTTTGACAATTTTTAGTCAACAAAAGATACAAAGCTCCTCTCCTCATGGAATAAATAATCAGTAATATAAAACAATATTAGGAAGTGATGAGTGCTTTGAAAACACTGGCTTTGAAACATTTGGATAATGTGATGCATAAGGATAATTTTAGGATTATCAAGAAATACCTCTTTGCAGAAGAAACATTTGAAAGTACTGTAATCTGAATGAATTATAGATTCAAGCCTTGTGGAAAGAACAGATACAAGAAATAGCAACTGTAAAGGTCTTGTGCTGGGAATATGCTTGGCATATTTGGGAGGTTGTAGGGGTGCTAGTAACCCTTATATAGTGTTCTTTATTAGGTTTTATTGGGTTTTTTTTTGTTGATAATTTTTGTTTTGTATTTTACTTTTTAAGATCACCTTTATTGAACTAAAATTTACCTGTAGTTAAGACTTACACTATTAGTGCAGAGTTGTGAGTTCTGACAAACACATGTAGTTGGGTAACCTCCAACACCTTCAGGCCCCAAAGCAGAAATGGGGAACCCTGACTCAGTCTACCCATGGGACAGGTTGCAGATTTATTGACATCCACCAGAGAAAAATAATTTTCAGGAGGCATCAACAAAAGGCATAATGGGATTTTTTAGACAAAATTTTTACAGTACACATTCACAGAAATAGAGTGCTGCCCCTTGAGAAAGACACTGCCTTGAGCTGAGTATAGTTATGGGGGTTTGGGGGCAGAAATCTGTAGAATTTAGGAATTTATAGAAAGCGGACTCATTTTACAAATTAGAGGCTGTAGCTCTTTCTGAAGAGGAAGGGTGATGGCCCATTCATAGGTAATACCCATCCCACGAGATAGAGGCATAGACATCCATAGAGAAAGGTCTGATTTTGAGGTGGAAAGACATGGTCTTTACAGATGAAAAAAGGTCCACTTACTGGTAATAGAATGGCCCAGGTCTATTTACAGGTGAAAGGGAAAGATAAAAAGTAAAGTCTTATTGTGTTTTCTATTTAATTTAAATCTTTATTTTTATTAATGTACATGTTTATAGTACATAATGATTACATTCTTCACTGGGAGTTAAAATATATATACACATATATATGTATATATATGTATGTATAAAAAACACATGTTCTTTTTACTCTTCTTTCCCCTCCTTTACTCCCTCTCTGTGTCTCTTGGTCCTGTTCTCAAAGTTTTGCTCTTTAATTCATTTATACTTTGGATTTCTCATATAAGAGAAACCATGTGATACTTAAGCTTATGTGTATGTATGATTTATTTCATTTAACATGATCGTCTTAAGATTCATCCATTTTCCTCCAAAGGACTCAGATTTATCCCTTTAAATGCAGAGTATATGGTATTCATTGTATATAAATGGTAAATTTTTCTTTATCCATTCATCTGTTGATGGACATAAAGGCCACTTCTAAGATTTAGCTATTACAGGTTGTGTTGCTATAAACATGGGTATGAATGTATCTGTAAACATGTATGCATGTAATATAGTATTTTTAACTCTTTCAGAAAGATATACCTAGAAGGGGACTAGCTAAGTCAAATGTAATTTCTAGTTTTAGTTTTTTTGAGGAATTTCCTTCCATAGTGGTTTTACTAGTTCACACCACCCCTCCCCCCCCAAACAATGTGAGAAAGTTCCTTTTTCCTTGCAGCCCCTCCCGCATTGGTTAGTATTTGATTTCTTGATGATAGCCATTTTTTCTGGAGTAAGATAGATTTGCAGTGTTATTTTAAATTGCATTTCTCTGATGGCCAGAGACGATGAACATTTCTGTGTTTATTGGCTATTTGTAGTTTTTCTAAGAAGATGGATACATTTCAGTGACCTATTTTTTTTTTGTACTGGGGATCGAACTCAGGACCTTGGGATTACGAGGCTGGTGGTGGCACTACTGAGCTAAATCCCCAGCCCTCAGTGACCTATTTTTTGATGGGAGGAGTTAATTTTTTTGAGTTTTTCATATATTCTAGACATTAGTCTTGTGTCGGAGCAATAGCTTGCAAAAATGTTTCCCATTTTGTAGCTTGTCTATTCACTCTATTGGTTGTTTCCTTTGCTATGCAGAAGCTTTTTACTTTGATATTATCCCATTTGTTGGTTCTTGATATTATTTCTTGAGCAATTGGGGTTATGTTCAGAAAGTTGTTGCCTATGCCTATGCCCTCAAGAGTTTTTACCTATTTTATCTTCCAGCAGATTAAATGTTTCTGTTTTAGTATTTAAATATTTGATGCATTTTGATTTTAGTTTAGTACATGCTGAGAGATATGGGCCTGGATTCAATCTCCAAGAGATTGTGGATGGCCAGTTTCTCAGCAGCATTTGTTAAAGAGACTATATTTCCACCTGCATAGGTGTTTGGCCCCTTTGTTAAAGATTATATGGCTGAATGTGCCTAAGGTTATTTCTGCATCCTTTATTCTATTCTGTTGATCCACTTGTCTGTTTTTGTGCCAGTACCATGCTGTTTTTAACCACTGTAGCTTTGTAATATAATTTAAAGTGTGAAATTGTGATTCTTCCTGCTTTACTTATTGCTCAGGATTGCTTTTGCTATTCTGGGTCTCCACTTGTTCTATATGAATTTTAGGATTGTTTTGTCTAGTTCTGTGAGGAATGTTACTGGTATTTTGATTGAGATTGCATTAAATCTGTATATCAGCTTTGAAATTGTGGCTGTTTTGACAATAATGGTTCTCTCTATACAGAAATGGAGTATCTTTCCATTTTCTGGTGTCCCCATTTGGTGTCCTTTTTCAGAATTCTGTAGTTTTCATTGTAGAGATCTTTCATTTCCTTGGTTAGGTTGATTCCTATGTATTTATTAATCCTTCTTGATGTTATTTAGAGTGTTGTTTTCCTAGTTATTTTTTCCCCCACTGAGTTCATTATTGGTATACGGGAATGCTATTGATTTTTGTCCTGCTACATTGCTAAACTTGGTTTATTCCAGAAGTCCTTGGTGGAAATTTGGGGTCTTTTGTATAAAGGATCGTGACATCTGCAAATGATGGTGATTTGATTTCTTCCTTTTTACATTTATCCTTTTTATGTCTTCCTCCTCTTGATTACTCAGACTGAAGTTTCGAAGTACTATATTAAAGAAGAGTTGTGATAGTGGACATCCTTGTTTGTGATTTTAGTAGGAGAACTTTCAGTTTTTCCCCACTTAATATGATGTTGGCAGTAGTTTGTCGTGAATGGTTTTTGTCAGCTTGAGATAAGGTCCTTCTATACCTATTTTCTTCAAGGGTTGTATTATGAGTGAATGTTGGATTTATTCAATCAAAGTTTTGGGAGTGGGTGAAGAAATACATTTATATCATGATTCTCAGTACAAAAGTATGGATTCTAAATTTTTTAAATTCTGATTATTTGTTTTTTTGGTTCTCCATTGAAAAAATGCTATGCCAAACCTAATTTAATTTCTTGAAGCTGAAAGGAATCTGCCACCAGTAACTTGAAAAACATAAGTAAACTTAAAGTGTAGATTCTAATAAAGCAGGTAGAATTGTTTCCTTATTTGTCCTCCTTTGTACTGGCTTGAATACTTGAAAGATTTTCCAAATATGTGTATGTGTTTTATTACTTCTTGCTTTATTTTTGTCCTGAAGGCACACTACTTCAAAAGTGGATTGTAATAATTGGAATTTTCTCTCATTAAGGCTGTTTATATCACTGGAAAAGAAGTTTTCAGCTTTAAAATGGTTTCTTACATGGATGCTACTGCTGGTTCTGCATACACAGATATGAATGTGGTAGACCTTCAGATTAATTTAACCGTTGGTTGCATTGAAGTAGTTTTTGTCACAAAATTTCTATATTCTATTTTGGTAAGTTTTAATATTTGATTTTTAATTCTTTTATGCTAGTTGGAAATTGCTGTATATTCAAACAGAAGAAAATAAGAGTTTTTTGCTTGATTTTATTTTTTAATAGATTTCTGGATATTCTTTATCATACCAAAACCTTTAGTACCTTATTTATATAACACATATTTAGTAGCATAGTTATATAGTATAATTTTTACATGGGAATGTTCTAGTTAATTGAAATATATTAGTATATTAATACATGTATTACATATCATGACAAATATTAATTGAAGTCCACTTTATATACCATTGGCTTAAACCCTTGTGTTCCCTAACTTAGAAGTCTGATTTAAAACTACCAGACATGATTGAAATTTGCTTTTTCTTTTTGGTACCGGGGATCGAACTCAGGTCCTTGCACTTGCGTAGCAGGCGGCGAAACCACTGAGCTAAATCCCCAGCCCCTTTGCTTTTTCTTTTGCATTACGGTTCTGTGTGTATTGGACACATTAAGCAGTTAAATTTAATCCTGATTTAGCCCTAAGGCTTGTGAGTTCTTAGTTTTGCTTTCATAGTTCCCCTGTTTTACTGTTACTGTGAGTTCTGATTTTCTCCTGAATATCATTCCTATCTCTATGAAATTGCTCTTCTTTTAAAATGCCTTCTCTATCTTGGTGTTTAAACCAGATAATCAAGTCTGAGTAGGTCAAGTAAGTATGGCAATACTTGTAAGCCAGGAGGGAATTCATGTATTTACATGGATATTTTTGGAGATGTGGAACCATCTTGTGTTAATTCAGAATTCTGAGTTGATTTTGTTTTGTGGTATTTTAAATTGCTGTTGCTATGCAATTTTTTCTATAGCCATAAAGTCTTTGTAAAAAGAACAGTAAAGATAGGTAAGTAATCTTTGTCTAATTTACTTTTATTAGTCAAAAAATTATGTCACTTTAACCTCTTGTGATAACCTTATACTTAAGTATTACTGAAAATATAAAGTATTACTTTTCCTCCAAATATAAAAATTAAGTATAAATCTAGAAAGTTATATTTTATGTCACTGAAAGATTTTATCTAAAATTTTTAAATTTCAAAATTTATTTGAGCATTCTTGAAAAAGGCATTTTAGAGTTTATTTTTAAATCTTACAAACACAAATAAGCTCTCTGTGTCCTGAGGCTTTCTATGCAAATAAGATTGGTTAGCTATTAGGACAGGTTCAATAAGAAGGGAAATAAGCGAAACATTTTGCTATTCTTATTTTGCTTTGTTCCAGGGACTAGGTTTTTATTTTATCAATATCTTCATATTTTTCAATTTTTTCAGCAGAAAATTAATGTAGATAATCATATCTTGGATAAAGCTTGATTTGGTTTTACCAAGTACAGTTTTTTCTTATGGAAATAAAATTATTAAAGATCTTTTCATGACACATCATAGTCATAATCCCAGAAGTCCAGCACAAGTACAGAAGTTTTAAAGCTGTTAGAGAAAAGTGCAATGGAAAACCCATTAGAATTGCAGCAGACTTCTCAATACAAACCTTAAAAGCCAGGAAGTAAAATTATAAACATTATATATTTAATAAGTCATAACATCAAGAATAAAATTCTATGATCTTTATAGGCTTTTGTAGATAATTTTCAAGCAGCTAAAGAAGCCTTGGCTGAAGCAACTGTTCAGGCAGCAGGAATGGCTGCTACTGGTGTAAAAGAACTGGCACAAAGGAGTTCAAGATTAGCACTGGATGTAAACATCAAAGCCCCAGTGGTGGTCATTCCACAGTCTCCAGATTCGGCAAATATTTTTGTAGCTGATTTTGGACTAATTACAGTGACCAATAAGTTCATTATGGTGACAGAGAGCTGGAGCAATCCTCCACCTGTTATTGACCTAATAACAATAAAGCTGAGTGAAATGAGACTTTACAGGTAAGCTTTTCACAAGGCTATGTGTATAAAATGCAGTCTTTCTTAATTTTTTATATTGAAGGCTTCAGTATCTTGAGTATTCTGTTTATAGTGGAATTCTATTTTATTACAACTGTATTTGGTTTTGTGATTCTCTCTTCCAAACGTATTTTTTTTTTTTTTTTTGTACTGGGGATTGAACTCAGGACCTTGTGCTTGCTAGGCGGGCAGCGGAACCACTGAGCTAAAGCCCTGGCCCAACCAAACGTGTTTTTTTAAGCAAGATCAATTATAGCCTTAGTTTTTAAAAACTAGAAAATATTTGAGAACTGCTTCATACATAAATAAGGAAACTAAACTATTGCTGACGAAGTATATTTTTGCTTTTTGTATATTTGTACACTTTTTTCATAGTTCTTTATAAATTCTAAGTGTAGAAGAAATGGAGTATAGCTTGTTTATTAACTTTGTAAACTCAATAACACCCAAACTAATCCACTAGCTTTGTGTTGTGGACCTGATTCTCTAATTTAAGCAAATAAACAATGGAGTATAATCCTATGTAATCACTTACAAGGGATTAGGAAGTAGGGGAACAAATAAATATCCCGATAGTTCCAGGGCTTTTATATTGTTTTTTGTGTTTCAGTACTATTTCTAGTTACCTGTTTTTTTCCACCTTGGATCACTCTTATTTATTGCTCTCACTTAATCAGTTTTTTTCTCCCTGTCAGTTTTCTTTGATTTCATTTTATTTATGTCTTTGCTTTTTTGTTTTCCCAACCTCTGCTTCTCTTTGGCCTCTGGCTGGTCTGTCTCTTCTCCCTGCCCTTCATTTTATCAAGTGAACATTTTTGAAGAAACTTTGAGAAATAATTCACATACAATAAATTGTGTGTATTTTTTTTTTTTATTTGGTGGTACTGGGGATGGAACTCAGGACCTTTTGCTTGTAAGGTAGGCAGCGCACCACTGAGCTAAATTACCAACCCTATAAATTGTGTGTATTTAAAGTATGCCATTTGCTAGGATGTGACAGTTTATGTACAGTTGTATTACATCTTCCTTAAATATTAAGTTAGAATTCACCAGTAAAGGCATCTAGGGCTGGAGTTTACTTACAGGAAGTTTTTAAACTAAAGTTTCCATTTCTATAATAAATTAAGAACTTTATTCAAATTTTTTGGTTGATCTTGGTAATTTTTTTCAAGGATTTTATTCATTTAGGTTGTAGATTTTTTTTTTTTTTTTTTGGTACCGGGTATCAAACTTGGGACCTTGCGCTTGCGAGGCAGGCAGTGGTACCACTGAGCTAAATCCCCGGCCCTAGGTTGTAGAATTTAATGGCATAAAATTTTTCTTAATATCCCTTCTTGGTCATTATTATCTGTAATGATATCTCCTCCCTTACTACTTTTTTTTTTCTTTTTTTGGTACTGGAGATTGAACCTGGGACCCTGCACTTGGCGAGGCAGGTGGTGGAACCACTGAGCTAAATCCCCAGTCCCCTCCTTTATGACTTATTGATTACTTATTAATTATTTATGCATTTTTACTCTGGTTAGAAGTTTATCCATTTTACTAATTTTAAAGAACCTGCTTTTGATTTTATTGTTTTCTCTGTTTTCTATTTTTTCTTTCAATGATTTTTTGATTTCATACTTATTACTTTTAGTTTGGCTCTGTTTCTTTAGATGGTAGCTCAGATTATTGATTTGGAATATTTCTTCTTTTCTAATATAAGCTATAGTGCTATAAATTTTTAGACCTTTTTGTAGTTCTCTTCTCTCTGGCATTTATCGTGTAAACTCTAGCTGACTTAGTCTCCTTGGATGCTCAGCACTATCTTCTCAAGTCAGGGAGTTTCCTGATCTTCTTCTGGGTTCCTCTTCCATGTGCTCATGTCTGTAAATTAGCTCAAAACTGAGGCATTCTAAGGCACACTTGTAGAATCATTGAACATCCATCTTTTGATGTGCTATGTCCTGAAAACACTATTGAGATTGTGTTGAGGGTCCTGTGGTTGTTAACCGTGAATTAATAGTAGTTGCTTTTTTTCTTGATGCTGTACTTGATATTTTGTATTGAAAATTCAACAGCTAGTTGGAATCAAGCAAGACTGAATTTTTGACAAGGTGTGACTGAAGGTAGAGGATTTTAATTATTAATTATTGAGAATTATTGGTAATTTTAACTATTTAGAATCACATTGATGGATAATGGAGATGAAATAAATTAAAGACAGGGTATTGATAATGCAAAAGAATATATTGAGGCCTTTATATATTGGAGATACAATAATCTCAGTTAAAAATATGCACTGAGTAGTTGTTACAGCATGAGTTAAAGGTGGTAAATCTGGATGTTATTATGAATAATAGTGAGATTTGGGAAGCATTATTGCAAATGAAGAAAAAATATTTTTGTCTTACCCCAAGATAGGTGAAAAATTGGTCTCTGCTTTACAGAACTTCTTAGCCAGATTTTAGTTGAAATAAGAAATGAATGATATATTTAATGAAGACAGTGGGAAATGTAGAATGATTTAAGTTCAAGGATGTTAGAAACTATGAGGAGATTTTGAGGTGGGAGACTTTCAATAACAGGCTATAGATTTACAGTAGTAACTTTTTAAAGCTTTAGGCATTTAAATAACCTGGAGAGTGAACTATGTAAAAAGTCTGAATTTACTAAATTAAAATATTTATACACCTGTTTTAATCACATGTTGATTTAAAGATGATGTGAATTAGGTGAAGGTTTGTATTTTTAAAAATTGCTTTTATAAAAGAGTTCACGAATACTTGTATACCATTGTTATAATACTTGTTAGTTTTTTGTCCAAAATGATTACATTTTATCCAAAGTGATTTTTATTAATAATGAACATAAAAGTTTGTTGACAATCATTTGACTCTTCAAAGATACTAACAATTTGATACATTTGTTCCTTTTTATTTTATTTGCATATATATTTAAGTAAAATTTTAATTGTATTACATTTCATCTTGTTTCTTTTTTCCTTAACAATATGCTAAAAGTATTTTTCTACTGTTATTTTGACTCCATAATATTTTCTTAGTACTTTTTGTTCCTTAGGTTTTTAGAAATCTATTTGTCTTTGTTAGATATTTAACTAGCTTCAATTTTTGCGTTATTATAAATAACAGTATAATAATGATGGGTATTTTTGTTCATCTTTAGGATGAATTCCTAGAAATATAATCATTCAATTATTGTGTATAACCACCTTATCCTGAAATAACTTTAAAATAATTGATATTCAAAAATTCAGCTTAGTTTCTACTTCTTAGCACATAAAGACAAGTATTCATATTTATGACTCCTTGTATTTCAGTTTATACACTAATCCAGTTTCTTGAATGCAATTTAGCAAATATTTATTGATGAGATGACATGCTACTCATCTAAGCTAAATACTGGCAGCAGAGCAAAGAATAATATGAATTTAGTCCCTTCCCTTGTGAAGCTTTTATTCAGTTGAAATTATAAATAATATATACTGTTAAAATGCATCATATTAAATACAATGATAGAAAAACTTAAAGGTATTTGTGGGAGAAGGTAAGTGAAAGTGCCTAACCCTCATGTATTGAATAGTACTTATCGATAAGTGGGTTTTTTTCTACATGAAGTAATCTCTTTATGGAGCATTTATGCTTCTTATATTTTATCTAGGAGAAACTATTTATCAAAATAGTAATCCAAGTATTTATTATAATAAAGCATTGGAAACAAATTTTTAATAATAACTGTAGTGTAGCCTTAATATAATGCATAACCATTAAAGTTTGCACATGCAGTCAGTATTCCTCCATAGGATGAGTGTCCAACTTTTTGGCTTACCTGGGCTGCATTGAGTGAAGAGGAATTGACATGATCTACATATAAATATATACTATAGTTAAATGTATATAAGTAACAAAGCTTCCTTTGTTAAATTTTTCATTGTAACATGACATACACAAAAGGGGGCAACATAAACCCAAAATTAGTAGGATATTTGACTTTAGTTTTGTGAAAGTAATGGAACAGTGTCTTTTGGTTCATTTGAAATGGACTCTGTGTGGTTCATTTTGAAAGTAGTTGGTCGCAAATATACATACTGCCAGATAGCAGTGACATGAATAAGGCATGACCATGAACTTCCGAATATTTTTCTGTGGAAAGATAGATCTTGTAGAAGTCTAGTAAAGAGATATTATCAAAATTTTCTTTGAGTTGAATGTCTAATTGCAATCATGTACATTCCAAAAATTAATAAATACCAAGTGTTTATTTTTCTAGTATTAGTGATGCTGTATATCTAATTATAATAATATGAGCACAATATTATTGATACATTTTAGTGCTTCCTGTATCACAGCTGCTAAAGACTATATGAACTTATTATTTTATTTAAAAAAACAACAACAACAAAAAAACAAGTCTGGGGCTGGGGATTTAGCTCAGTGGTGTGGTGCCTTCCTTGAAAGTGCAGGGTCCTGAGTTTGATCCCCAGTACTGAAAAAAAAAAAATCTGAGCTTCATAATTAAATATGAAAACTTACATGCCTGGATAACAGTAATCACCAGCGTTTACAGGCACACACACATGTAGGAGGTTGAATTACTTTTATAGTTAATTGCTGTGTTTAGTCAACTCATACAAGCAACACCTAATACATTCTACTGACTGGTAAATGCCGGAGACAGAGTTAGCACTGCACTGCACACTCACCTATAGAATATTCTGTTGTTACCTCTACAATGAACACTCAAATATAATTGAGGTATATGACTGGGTGATAGAGTCATACAAACAATCATATGTTAAAAGTTTATGATCCCATGAGGCTGCATTATTAGCTGTGGAGAATTGCTTGCAGTCCATCAACTGCAGGTTGGACATGCCTGCTCAATAGGGTTTTTAGATTCCTTACCAGCATTAGGCAGAGATTGCAGGCATACATGTATGTTTAAATATAGTGTCACTTCATAGTCCATCCATGAAATGGTTTGATACTGAGCATTTTGAGAGATCTCTGATGACTTCCATATTTCTCTCCCATTGTGTAAATAATAGCCAAAATCATATAGTCATGTCTTCATATCCTAAAGATTTGCTGCCACCTAAAATATAAGTACAATATTGAAGAGTAACCTGTGGAAATTGTCATTTGAAGGTACAAAGAAAGGCTTTTATGGTCCCGTAATCCTTGAAAGGGTTCTGTGACCTGCTCTTGTCTTCACTCCTGAGCATCAGTTCTGTTTTTATAAGTGCTTGGAAAGGCAAATATAGTCCACTTAATGTGAAATTGTACATAACCAGCTATTATTTGGATCCACAGAGATAGAAATTTCTTAAGGTACAACTTCATTTGAAGGGGATATGTGTTCTACATATCTAAATCAGCAAATTAAAATGTTTTATAGTAAGGTATTAAATAATGCTTCTTTACTGATTATATAAAAATCTTATTTTAAGGATTTTCTAATTGGCTTGTATATTTTTTGACATTTTTCATCATATTGTTAAATCCTATTTTTAAAAAATAAGGAACATTTCAGTTTAGAGAAAATCAACTGGGTTTAATCTTCCTTTTTTCTTATCTGAATGTATACAAAACAATCCAAAACAATTTTGTTTCTACTTATAGGTCTGAATTTATTAATGGTGAATACCAAGAAGTACTGGATCTACTACTGCCATTAAATCTTGAAGTGGTTGTTGAGCGAAATTTATCCTGGGATTGGTACCAGGAAATTCCTTGTTTTAATGTAAATGCTCAGTTAAAACCCATGGAGGTAACTTTGTAGCTGTTTATTGATTTCTATTTTGTTTGTTGAAAAATACTCCCTCAAAACATAAGAAATTTTGGGTGAAGAATTCATGTATTATCAGCTTGGTCAGAATTGAAATAGTATCTTCTTAACAGACATGTTAAGTTAGGCAGACATGCAAGTTTTCATATTATCCAACTTGGACTTGAATTCATTTAATGTTTTCCATTTATTCTTTAACAAATATTTGAGTTGACTGCCTCCTGTCCTGAGCTAGATATTGGAGGTACTATGACAAAGAAGCTACAATGTCTCAGACTTCATGGAATTTACCAGTCTAAGCCAGATGATGGTGGTCTGGGATGTGCAGTCGTCAGATAGTAAAAATAATTATGAGGCAATTCATGAAGGAAACAAATACTAGTCAGTATATTAGTAGAGAATTAGTGGAGAGATCTAGGGTGGAAATATTGATTTGGGAGTCATCAGTATATGATATTTAAAGCCATAACAATATATGAAATAACCTAGAAAAAAGTATTTAAAGAAGAGAAAGTCCTAGAAGACTAGAGAGGTTGTAGGTTAAAATAGCAGATGTTGTCATTGCTTTAAGTATAGCTTTTATCTGCCAACTGGTTGACCTTGCTTCACAGATCTCTAATGGAACAATCACAAGTTCATATTTTTTCTGTTGACTGAATGGAAATAGAAACTGTACCATATGCTTTACTGAAGCACAGCAAAATATAGTTGCCTACTTAAATGCTCTTTCCTCCTTCTACTCCCAGTTTCCCTATTTGTCTCTATTTAAAAATTTGTTCTAAAAGTGAGAACCTTCATTTTAGAGATTTCTGACTTAAATCAGACATATTCAGAGATTAAGCTGTCAGTTGAAATACTTTCTTAGTGTGTAAGATAATGTGGAAGCTTTATAGGGTCAGAAATAGAAAGTATCTTCTTAAGATAAATAATTAAAGTTTCTTAAAAAGAGCAGATAGAAATTTGTAAAATAAAAGTAACATATTCCACCCAGCTTGTTGTGGAAATCCTTACCCTACTTGGCCCAAAGCAGGCAGATTTTTGTGCAGCAAAAAGAATACTGCATTCTCATTCTCTTCTCCTGGGGAAATTCAGGCGCAGAATATTCAGAATATTCAGGTGATGCTGTAGACCACCTGCAAATGCTCACTGCCTTTTGAGGCAGGTTCACTAGGAAGAAGTTGAATCTTCCCCACCCCTAATTGTCCTGAGTACAAAATATGCCTCATTTAAGGACATATCTGTTTAACAACTGTTCAGACTTAGGACTGAGGCATGCTCTTTGGATTTAAGACCTGCCTCTCAGAATTATGACCTATCTTTTTTGTTATTAGTCCTGTACATCTTGATTATAGAGCCTCTGTCTTTTTTGTACAGTATGCCTTGTTTATAGTACTATAATTTTTACGGATTGTACTGTACAGTACTGTAGTTTAATGTTATACATTACAGTACTGCATGTAAGAGCTATGTAAATAAAAGCAAAAGTCATCAAGTTGGAGTTTCCTTTGACCATTTCTTTGTTTTGAATATTGTACTGACATACTATAATAGAATCCCCTATTTAGCAACCAATTCAATTAACAACTTGGCCACAGGAATGGAAATTTTGTCAGTAAATGAGGAATGTCTGTAATCAGTGGCTCTTGCAGCCCAGTCTAGAGCCCACATACTTTGCTTGCTCCCTCTTGGGGCTCATCCTTTGTGTCAAGGAGAAGCTGGAATTCAGTCTAGTCTAATGAATCAAGACCAAGTGCTGTTGCAATTGGTAATTCTGACCTGTAGGATGTTTCAGGGTTATGCACCCAGCCTGTTCTGACATTTAGGTAGCTGCCGTTGTAGGATCCTTACAGTCCTTCCAACTTCTTCCACTCACCTCCTGACAAGAGTGAAGAGTGATAATTAATATCAGCATTTGAGGGACATTGACTATATATGTACTAATTGAATTTGTTTAGAAGTTTTATTAAGAGTTTATATGTTTCCAATGGCTGCTGCATAATAGTCACAAAGTAAATGTCATGAATAAAAGGATGAATGAAAGTTTATAAACATAAGTAGTATGAATAAGGTACACATTCTCTTACTCTTAAAAACTAGATTAGTATATCATCTTTGAAGTTCAGTTAAAAAAATGTATTTATTGAGAATAAAATTATCCCTTTGGATTATAACAATCAGAAAGAACAGTTTTAACAAACTTAGAAGTGAGCCAGAGTAATTTAAGAAAAGTGTCCTGATTAAATACATCAGTAGATTCTTTTTTAAACAGTTGCTGTTGCATTATATCAGTGTTAGGTGTGTGAATTGATAGGGGTTTGTTTTTTTTTAAGAATTGGTGCATATGATTGTGAAGGCTAACAAGTTCAAAAGTGGCAGGATGGACCAGTATGATATTTATAAAGGAAAGGGTTGATGGTGCAGTAATCTGAAAGTAGTTTGACTGCATAATTCTTGCTTAAAGTAGATCGCTCTTTTTTCTAGTGAGTGCCTTCAACTTATTGAACGAGGCTCACCCGTATACGGTAATCTGATTCACTTAAAATATACTTATTTAAATGTTACTCTCACATAAAAACATACCTTTACAGAAATACTTAGAATATTATTTGACAAAATAACTATTGTGTCCAAGCTAAGCTGATACATACAATTACCCGTCATCATACCTTTTAAGATAGGTCTTATGATATTCGTTTTAGGCTGAATTGAAAACACATAGGGTTTGAAGTTAGCTCTTTGCGTTTTTTTGTAAGTGTATGAACGGAAATATGTCACTTTACAGTTTAGCTTCGACTTCATTTAAATTCAGGATTATATTCTATATTATATTCTAGGGCTATTGTGAGGCTCAAAAGTAATTATATAAAACATATGAAGTTTTTTTCATTATACAAATGTGATATATTGTTTTTATTATGATAAAATGTGCTTACTGACCAAAAAAGTCTGAGGTAGTTTGATGACTGCAGTTTAAATTCATTTCTAGTGTAAAAACTCTTCAATTATTTGGTACATTCATAACAAATAGTTCATTGTTCATAGCTTCAGTATAGGTATCTAATTTAGTTCTGTATTTCATAAGCTACTAAAGATCACATGGTCATTTAGAAAACTATTCAGTTCATAAAATTCTTTAATGCTTTAAAAATTGGGGGGTTTTTGTTTTGTTTTTTTGGTACTGGGGATCGAACTTGGAACCTTGCACTTTCGAGGCAGGCGCTGGACCCACTGAGCTAAATCCCCGGCCCTTAAAAAATTGGTTTTATAGAGAACTGAAGTAAACGCTCATGTTTCTTGAATAAGAATTTTAAATACAGGAGGTAGAAATGTTTAAAAAAGGCACATCCTCTGGGTTTATTTTTTTTCTGAAATTCTGTGTTTTTTAACAGTTCATTCTTAGTCAAGAAGATATAACAACTATTTTTAAAACATTGCATGGAAATATATGGTATGAAGAAGGTGTTAGTGCCTCATCTGCTGTAACTAAAGACCAAAGTAGTAGTACCAGTGGAGCCACTAATGCTTCACACCATTCAGGAGGTATGTTCATAATTCTAAATCAGTTTCACCTGCCTCTCTTTTTTCCTCCTCTTTCTTTCCCTCTTTCCCCTCCCTCTTCTCCCCTCTCTTACCTTCATCTCTTCTCACCTTCATTCTTCTCTTTTGTCTCTTCTCTCTTCTCTGTGTTCTTCCCCATCTTTCCCTTGTTCCTTCCTTTCTCTGGTTTTGGTAAAATAGGGTTTATAAATCTCTTTCTAATCAGCTAATCTCATTTAGGCATTTCTAAATTACCTATGTTATTAGTCATTCTGTTGATTTTTTTTTTTTTTTTCAAGTCAGAGTTCTTAGTCCTCTTGTAACAAAACATCCTTATTGTTTGTTCTTGTTTTCCCAAATTCCCTCTAGGTTCTTACTTTCAGTTTTTCCCTGTCCTTCTCTTTGTCCTTCTCCTAGTATAGGATATATCTCAAAATGAGTATTTTATACTGATACTATTAGAATATTAGAGGTCTGAAGAGAGGATGATCATTGCAGATGAGAGGTTTTAACAAATGTAGATATAGATGGGTGGGAAACAGAGTAGAAGGAACCATAACTTACAGACACTTTTTCCAGTGTTGGATCCAAGGTGCAATGTGGAATGCTGACTGGGTCCCGAGTTCATCACCAGCACATGGAAAATTGGGTTAGTTAGAGATGCTAGGATTATTTTGAGGCATAGAGTAGAGTTATCCCCAATCTGGTATTTGAGAGGATTCCTCCGCTCTACCTACCTTAAAGTAAAACCTACTAATCCATAAAACCCATTTTTGTAAAGACCTGAGGTATGACACAGGTTAACCATTTAGAGGACCTTAACACAGAAACAGCCTTTCATTCACAGTATTATAAAAAAAAAAACTCCATCCTTACTAGATAGGATGCTCTACCCTATTCTTTATTGTAAAATAAATGGTCAAATATGAAGAAAATCATTAGCACACAAGCATGAAACAAAGATAAACACAACAGTGTTTTCTGAATGAAATAAACCAAAGAAAAGAGACAAAAACTCTGCTGTTTTAAGAGGATTAGGTAATATAAGAAATGGATCCTGTGAGCACCAGCAGCCCCACAAGGGAAGACTTCTTGGAAATTGAAAGTATGATTGCTAAATTTTGAAACAAAAACAATTGGTATAGGGTTTTAATATAAGTATTTAGTTGGAACATACAGTTGAATTAAAATTTCATTGCACAGAGGAGAAAAAGAGAGGAACAGACAGTGAGATAAACTAAAGAGTGGTGCTTCAGTTCAGAAGAGCCAGTTCTACAAAAATAGTATTACAGAAGAAAAGAATTGAGAAAATAGAAAAAGATTTCATAGAAGTAACAATGTTAAACAATCTAGACCTAAATATTGAAGCCATCTCTTAGATATAAAGAAACTACTGAGTTCTAAGCAGATTAGGTAAACCAAGATCCCCCCACCCCCCCACATCATTCAAACACATTTTCATGGAACATCAGGATTGAAAATTAAAAATTTTTAGTATTTCAACAAAAAAGAAACAGGCTGCCTGTTAGAGTGTATTGGAGAAATGACTGGATGATTTTTTCTTATGTGTTGTTGCTACTTTTTCAACAAAACTGGATGAGATTGACCCTAAAAAGAGAGTGGAGCAATATTTGAAAATTCTAAGAAGTATGACTTTGAAGTTAAGTTTCTATACATGGCTTAAACCATCATCAAAAATGTGAAGACAAAATAATTCTCAGATTGTTAGTGATTTAAAATTTATTGAAAGCCCCCAAATTTACTCCTAAAATAGTTTAAAAATATATTCTAGAAAGATAATCTAGGAATCCAGGAAAAAGGAAAATGGAGGATTAAACAACAGTGATCTTATCAAGAGATGCATCCAAAATGATTTGTGAATAGGGTAGAAAGTAATTGATCTTCATTTAAAACGATCTCAGAATACTTTGGAGGGGGAAGCTGCTGGAATAATCGTTCAAAAATAGCATAATTCCACATGAAATGTGTGATGATGAGTTAATTACATTATATAAATGATATATAGAAAGGAAGACATGTTTTCTGTTTTTAAAGAACTCTAAACCATGGTGCAGAAATGAAATGGAATACATTTTGCATGATTTTTGTGGCATTAGAAGGTGAGGCAAGGTAATCTTTTCATTATTGACCAGTGAAATTACAACAGCAAATGCAGCATTATAATAAACTGCAAACCTCTTCATTGAAAAATATTATGTAGTCAACACATAAGAAGAGGAGCATCCTTGTTGCAATCCATTGAAAGTCCAAGAAAGACAATGTAAATAAGAAAATAAGTGTTATTAACAGTCATTATATAGAAGTAAAAACATAACTGATAAAAGCTAGAAAGAAGAAGATGGGAGAGGTGGAGGAAATGGTAAAGGTTTAAATAGTGGGGATTACAAAGATAAAATTGATACAAGAAGGAGCAGAGGTTAGAATGCATCTGATCATTTTCTTCTGAAATTTTTTTACATGTACATTAAAGTAGAGGGAATAAAATCATGAGCCCACATGTACCTATCACCTAATTTCAGCAGTAGCATCATTGGCTGCTTTTTGTTATTCTTGTAACTCTTCCTTCCTCTTACTTGTCTTCACTAGATTATTTTAAAATAAATCTCAAGTGTTATGCCATTAATTGCTATTTATTTATAAGCAATAATGTCTTTAAAATATAATAGTAATATCACCTCTAAAAATGAGGCATATTTCCAAAAAGCCCCACAGAACTATACAGTTAAGATTTATATTTCTTCTGGTTGTCTTATAAATATCTCTTTACAAGTCCATTCACAATAAGATTTAATAATCATAAATTTGTGCCTTTCAAATATCAGAGCTTCAAAACAAATGCAGCAAAAGTTGACAGAATTAAATATTGAAGCCTCATGAGACTCATAATTGGGGATTTTAACCACAGCACTCTTAGTAATTGATAGGCTATAGAGAAAAAATTAGAAAGAATATAGAAATTTGAACATGGTGATCAGACTTGATTTAATTGATGTTTATAATACTATAGTCAGTAATTGCAGAACATAGTTTTTTAAATTATGGAATGCAACTTAGTGGTGAAAGAAATTTGCTGTGAAGAATTAGGAAAGAAAAAAGGTATAGCATCAAAAATGAAATATTCTACCTCAAGAAACTAGAAGAACAAATTAAATCAAAGTAAATAAAAGAAAACAACAGTAAAAATAGAACAAAAACTGACTAAAGAGAACAGATGAATCAAAAAATAAAGGCTGGGTGTAGTGGTACAAGCCTCTAATCCTCACTCAGGAAGCTGAAGCAAGAGGGTCACAAATTCAATACTAGCCAGAAGTACTTAGTGAGTTCAAGTCCAGCCTGACATAAAGACCCTGTCTCAGAAAACAAATCAAAAAGAAGTAAAAAATTATTTTTATTGGAAAGATTAATAAAACTGATAAACCCCTAGCAGGATTAATGATAGAATACAAATTCAGAGAATCAGTTTTAAATAGATTACTATAGACCATTGCTCACTAGTGGATATTATGAGTAATTATATGTTGGCTTTCTGTCACTAAGACACAATATAGTGGTACCTCGCTTAATAAACTTGATTTTTACCATGATTCTGGTCACAAACCAAGTTGGACAAGAACTGAATCAAATTCAGTGGTTAGGTTCAGTGATGACTTTATGGAGAAATTTCATTCGGTTCTCATCCAGTTTGTATTGTGACCAAAATCTTGGAAAGAACTGAATTCGTGAACCGAGGCACAACTGAGGTGTATTGAACACCCACAATTTAAATGAGGAGAGGTTCAGTTTGGCTCATCATTCCAGGATATTTAATCCATGGTTGGCTGGCTCTGCGAAATCATGGCAGAAGAACATGGTAGAGCAAAGGTGCCTAGATCATGGCCCCCGGGAAGCAGAGCAGGAGAAGAAAGGGCAAGGGACCAAATATATCTCATGTTGACCATATATGGTCAAGCCTCTTTACCCATCCAGATACTACACTTGATCTTTGCCAAAAGGCCAAGAAGTGATCCATTACTCCTCCAGAAAGACTCAGAAGTGTGCTTTACTAATCTCTAAGGCAGTTCCCAGTTATGACACAATTATGCTTAACAAAGTAATTTCATGACAATAAATTCTACAATGTGGATGAAATGTACACCTTCACTGGAAAGCAGGAATTATTAAACTGACTTGAAAAGAAATGGAAAATTTGACTAGACCTGTATTTATGACAGGAATTAAATTTCACTGTTGAACTCTATTTAATAATTTTTCACTTTATGATTTACTTTTGTCAAACTATCCCACAACACATCAGATTCCTTTATATGAGTGTTACTTTGACCTTACATAACAAATCATTAATGGAAAACACTCCAGCCAAAATCATATTCTCTAATCTTCAAATGATCATCAAGTCTTCCTAGAGTTTGTTTGTTTGTTTGTTTGTTTGTTTATTTATTTATTTATGGTGGTGCTGGGTCTGTTTTGGCTAGTAGCAGTGCCACAGCACCAGTCTCTAGGTGCCTTGCCCCATTGGACTGCATTCCCACGACGAATAAATTTGGGTCCTGCATTGGCACAGACCTCTCAGAGCCAAGCGCACCACCCTTCCCCATACAGCTGTTCTGCTACTGACTTTCTTTTGTGCTGGATGTAGGTGCTGAACCTATCAGATATTTAAGAATACCACTTTTACACAAATTCTTTTGGAAAAAAAAGGAAGGGAATACTTTCCTACTCGTACAAAGCATGCATTACCTTAGCACCAAAATTAGAAAAGGAAATGTCCTGGAAAGGTTGTTAGATACCAGTAGTTACGGCTTGTGTCTAGATGTCCCTTCAAAAGCCTCATGTGAACATAGGTGGGCTTCCAGAGGTGGCTGGATCTAGAGTGTGTTGTGCTGGGATTGAGTGTGTGATGCTGAGATTGAGGGTGCATGATCACTAAATTAGCCCACTGATTGGTTTGGCATAGTTCTGGGTGTGGATAACGGTAAGGCTCACCCTGGGTATGCGTGATGCCACTCGAAGGATGGATAGCCTGGAAGGGTTAAATGGGAGAGGTCACCTCCTGTTGCTGCTTCACTACTTCACTGCTTTGCTGCCTTCTGTGTGCAAAGAATTGTTTCTCCTCTGCTCTGCCACCCTGCTTTTGAGCCAGCCTACTATGGACCGAAACGTCCACAAACTGAGCTACAGTAAACCTTTCTTTCTTTAATTTTGGGTGTCAGGTATTTTTTGTCACTAACAAGAAAAGTAACTAGAAACCAGTGTCCATCATGAACACAGACATAAAATTTCTTAACATATTAGCATAACGAATCTAGTTATAAGGATATAAGAAAAGTTTACCTTGACAGAATTATCCTGAAAAGGAAAGTTGGTTTAACACTTGAAAAATCAATTCATCAGACTAAAGGGGGAAAAGACTTAACAGCTCCAAAAGGAAAAAAAGTTTTTGAAAAATTCTCCTATTCATGATAAAACTAGAAATATCAAAGAGGTATACTTTCTAGTGAAAAGTTTAATATTTCCACCCTAAAAAAGAATGTCCATGCTTACCATTTCTATTATTGTTTGGCTAGCAGACAGAACAATAAGGCCAAGAAAAGGATTAATAGGTCTGGAGAGTAGAAAGGAATACCATTTCCTTATTTTCTCAGCTTGATCAACTACACAGAAAAGCCTAAGAAGTCTCCAGTTAATTCTAGAATTAAGAAATGAATGTAACCTTTTTAACAAGGTAAAGTTCATATGTAAATATTTTTATCACTAACAATTGGAAAGTAAAAATTTTAAATACTCTCTGTAGTAGGGTCAAAATCATATTTGGAAGGCAGTTTAATAAAAGTATTGCAAGACTTCTACACTGAAAAATACCATGTACTAATGAGTGAAACTGAATGGGACTCTAATATATGGAGAGATCTGTCATGTCTGTAGAATGAAAAAAAATCTCAATATTAAGATAACAGTCCTCACCATATTGATTCTATAGATTCAACATAATCCAAATCAAACTTTATTTTAATAGAAATTGAAAAATTGTTGGGCCGGGGATTTACCTCAGTGGTTCCGGCGCCTGCCTCAAAAGCGCAAGGTCCCGAGTTCGATCCCCGGTACCAAAAGAAAAGAAAAGAAAAGAAAAGAAATTGAAAAATTGTTTTTAATATTTACATGGAAATAATAAGAACTAAGAATACCCAAAAATTCAGTATTGTGAAAGTACTAAGAATTTACCCTATCTGATGTTAAAACTTGCTATAAATCTATAATTGAGTTGTATTGGCAAATTTTAGACATATAGAATGGAAGAAAATAGAGGGTCTAATAGATACATAAGTACGGTCATTCGATTTTAAAAGAATGTGTTGAGTAAGGAAAAGATAGACTTTAACAAATGGTGGTGTCACAACTAGGTAAACATGGAAACAATTGAACCTTTTCGCTTCACAGCATACACACATTGAAATAGTTCAAAGATATAAATTTAAAACCCAAAACTTACAAATCTTGGGAAGAAAACAGTAAAGATTATTCTCTTCATTGACAATGGGATAGCCAAAGATATTTTAGGTAGAATACCAAAGCACTAATCATGAAAAAAAATTTTATACAATAGATTTTATTTAAATCTTCATCCAGTTGGTATCAAGATACTTAAGTTAATCTTTGCCTCAGACTTAGAGACATAATTGTGATACATGTATTTGACAGTGTTCTTATGTCCAGAATATATTAGCTGTAAATTGGTAGCAACTTTTTAAAAACAAAATGACCAAAAGATTTGGAAACTTGAGAGAGGATGCTGTGTAAATGTACAGTAAGAACATGAAGAGTTGCTAGCTTAATTATTAGGAAAACTTCACAATTTACCAAGCTAGTTAAAATTTTAAAAGATTGACAACAACAAATACTGATGAGAAGTAGAATAGCTGAAATTCTTACATACTGCTGATAGGAATCTGAAGTCATATAATGGAGTATTGGATACACAGATGTATATACTTATCAGATCTCTTTAAATTGTTCATATAAGATCTATATATTTCACTGTAGATTTTATCTCAAAACTGGCATCGTGATATTTGTGTCCAGATTTGACTAGAATGAGAATTAGAAACTTGTGTTTTGATATCCCATTTAATACATATTATGTACATATAATGCTTTTTTGAAAATTTAAATGTAAAGAAAACAGAATTTTGAATTCTGATGAGTGGAACAATTTTTAAAGGTTCCTAAAATATCTTTGTCTTAATTATTTTTTTTTAAGAGTAGGAAAAATTTGTTGAGAGAAGCTCGACAAAAGCTTTTGTCTGATAGAGACAGAAGGGGAATCGGAAAGTGGGTTGCCTGCCCACCCCACTTTTCAAAGATGTTTTATACAGCAAAGCCATGTGGTGAGGCGGGTACAAAGTGGGGCAAAACTATAAGACCCAATGGAAATTTGCAAGGTGGCCATGAGGTGGGACAAAACCATGACCAACCAACACAAGTACAGTCACCCAGGTAATATTGATTAAATGGCGATCAAATGGAAAGACAAATCATATACAAGGAATTTCCCATTTAGAATATCAATCACTGCTATCTATCTCTAGGGGATAGATAATGCTAACCAGTGAATGTGCCTCAGTTGTTCTCTATGTTGGCGACTTTGGCTTAATTTTTAAAGTAAAATTTGAATACTAAACTGTAAGGTACTTTACACATGCTTTTTTACTGTATTTCCAAAATGAGCCTAGTGGTTACTTCTGGTATTCCCATTTTACAAAAGTGGAAATAAAAGTGTCCAGCAGAAACAGAAGTGCTGAGTGTTTAATCAACATTCCTAAGTTATTATAGAAACAATCCTAAGCCAGGAATTCTGCATCTGAATTTTCTAATCTTTTTAATTTATTGACTTATTTCCTATACCCATTTAGTTAATAATTCTTTTGTCTATTTCAAGATTGTTATAGTGAGCTACTTTTCATAATTTTTTCTTTATTCAATAACTTCAAATTTTCAAGGAGCAACTGTGGTGACAGCTGCTGTGGTAGAAGTACATTCACAAGCCTCTCAAGTTAAAACAACACTGAATATAAGTTTCAGAACTGATTATCTCACGATGGTACTGTATAGTCCAGGTCTTAAACCGGTAAGTTGAGAAAGAAAAGAAAAGATGTTTTTATTTGTGAAAAATTATGTAGATGAATGTTTATTAAATAACAGTTGGTATTTCCATGTGTGTTTTGTCATCTGTGTTCCTCTGAGAAAAATGGTTGATCTTTTCACTTTAATAATAATTTTAAGCATCTCAATTTTTAAATGTTATATTTCATGTAATTAAAAGTATGAAAAATAAATATTAAAATTATTTTTTTTGAACTTTCATTAGAGAGCCCTTTGAAAATAGAAAATTTTTTATGAGGTGTGTAGCTCAGCGGTGGTGTGTGAGCTTAACATATGCAGGGCGTTGGGGTCAGTCCTCAGCACCAAATACACAAAGAAGAAAAAAGTAACGAATTTTGATGTTTCTTATAAACAGACACAATAATTTGTAGTAGGTCTTATCATAAAATATGCATTAAAGTTGATTGTTTTGTGTAATTTTTGTATGGATTTTCTCTTCCATAGGCTTCCTTTTCAGATATTCGTGATCCTTCTCTACAGCTTGCTGAATTTAAATTGGAAAATATTATAAGTACTTTAAAAATGTATACAGATGACTCTACAGTTTCCTCTTTCTCATTAAGAAATTGTATTTTAGATGACAAAAGACCTCATGTCAATAAAGCAACTCCTAGGTATGTATTGTGTTCTGAGGTTAATTTTTTCATTTGTTTGGTGGTAGTGGGTATTGAACGTAGGGCCTTCACATTGAGCTACATCCCCAGCCCTTTTCTTTTCTCTTCCTCTTCCTCTTCTCTTCTCTTTTTGGAAAGGGTCTCACTAAGTTGCCTAGGCTATATTCTGACTTGCAGTCCTCCTGCCTTTGCCTCTCAGAGAACTGAGATTATAGGTGTACACCACCATGCCTAGTTCTTCTGAATTTTCACTTGAAAAATGGTTGATATATTTTATACAATTTATTCCCAAAGTTTCAATTTCTGAATACATCTTAGGATCTTCAAAGCTTCAATTCAGTCAAGTCATGATACTCATTTTAAATAAAACTTGAAATGTCCTGGTTCAGTTGTGTGCTATTCTTACTGGCTAGTTGATGAATAGGTTGAATAAATAGAAATAATTAGTGCAATTAAATGAGAAATGTATAAAAATTGAGAAAAAAAACGTGCTGATATTCAAAATTAATCATTTCTTAAGTTTACATTTTCTAATTTATGAAATGGCTGTGCTCCAGAAGTTTGTAAGTCCATTATTTGGAGGACTTCCCAAGACATGCCTTCAAGAATGCTTATTTGTATTTAGCAAAAAGGATAAAAAAAGTCTCGTAAGTTTTATTGATGTATTTGGTTGTTTGTAAGTTACTCTTACATAGGAATTGTTATTATTGTTTTTCAGAATGATAGGACTAACTGTTGGTTTTGACAAAAAGGACATGATGGATGTAAAGTATAGGAGAGTCAGAGATGGATCTGTGACTGATGCAGTCTTTCAAGAAATTTATATTTGTGCAAGTGTGGAGTTTCTGCTGACTGTTGCAAATGTCTTTTTTGAGGCCTATACCACAGGCAGTATTGTAGAAACCACTGTTCAGACATGGACTACTAAGGAAGAAGGTTAGTTATCAGCTAAAATATTTAATATCTATATTATTGAAATGCTATATCAGCATTTTACTTGGATTAGCCTCAGATAAGATCAAAAGTAAATAAATAAAAATCTTAATTTTTCACTGTAAGAGGAAAATCTTAATGTATTTTCTGGGACGTAATGTAATTTGCAGTTTTTTGAAAGTGCAAATGTATATTGGGTTCAAAATTATGAGACCTACATTAGGATAACTATTTCTCTGCAGGTGGTAGTTTGAACAAATTTGCTGGTACAAGAAAACAAGCGAGGGAAATAATGGCGCAACTACTCATTTTTATAATTAAAAATAGTATTTTAATTTAAAGAATTCATTGATTTTTATTAAATTATTTATAGCTTTTAACTTGACATACAGTTTCTCTATATCTTTTTACATGTTTCATTCATTGTGATACAGTAGAAAGAGTGCCAGGTTGAGAATTGAAAACTACTAGATTAGATTCCAGCTCTGCTATTAAATAGTGTAGTTTTCCCTCTGTCATTTAAAATGTTATTATGCCTATAACTTGTATTCAAACAGCTGCAACTTAATGGTAGAGTGTGTATTTACGATGCCCTAGGTTCTAGGTTCTATTTCCAGGACCGCAGAGAAGAGAGTTGTAGAGGATTCCTTTGAGATCTAAGCTTCTTTAATTTTATCTTTTTACTTAGAGTGAAGCAACATTTTCTTATAAATAGTAAATTATTCAAAAGTACTATATATAGTAAATGTTTATATATTAAAACATTTTTCTTTCTATTTTAGTACCTTTACAGGAATCAGAGAAATGGGAAATTAACATTTTTATTAAAAATCCAGAAATTGTGTTTGTGGCTGACATGACAAGTAATGATGCTCCTGCCTTAGTCATTACAACACAATGTGAAATTTGCTGTAAAGGTGACCTTGAAAACAGTAGAATGACTGCTGCCATTAAAGATCTCCAAGTCAGAGCATGCCCATTTCTTCCAGTCAAGAGAAAAGGCAAAGTCGCTACTGTGAGTTTACTATTATCTGCTTAATTATAAAGCATTTTGAATTTGCTATATACCACATTAGGAAATGAAAATTACCTACATTCTTTCTAACCTTCCTATGTACAACACTTTTCTTTTAGCTTAGAGAGCCCCATTTAAAATGGTATTGTACTAGTTTTTTCTTTTTTTACAAAACATTTATCGATACATTTTAGATACACATAATGATAACATTCACCATAGGGAATTTGTACCTATACTTAGTATATCTTACTTCTTTGTTTTTGAAACTCATGTTTTTCTAAATGCTCTTCAATATTTGTGTTGTTGGGAATATTCTCACCAAGAAGTCGGTTTCACTTTGACACTTTTCAACTAAGATATTACTCTGATTTTCTAACCATATCAATTTCAAGCTGTTCTTCAATCTTTAAGACTTTCTACCAGTTAGTGTTATTTCAGTTTTATTGTTTTAATTTCTTATTTGGATGTTTTTGCTTAGATAAGGTGTTTTTGATAGTCTTCATGTGTCTTAACTTTCTTATCGCTAGGGCTAAGTATCCAACACCCACAAGTTAAAGGAGGAAAGGTTTATTTTAACGCACAGTTTATAGAGGTTTCCATCCAGTCACCTAGCTCTGAGGCAGGGCAGCATGCAGAGGGGCATCACAGAGGAGAAACAGTCCTTGGCAGAGCAGGCAGGAAAAAGCAGCCAACTTGGCTTATATCTTTCCCTTTACACAGTAAGTCCCGACTTTTTAATGAGTTTTGTTCAGAGAGAACATTTGTAAGTTGGATTTGTTCTTAAGTCCAACAGAGTCTTATATGACTCTTTGTCATTTGTGTCCTTTGACACAAATATACAATGCAAAGCTTAAAAATACCAAACACACACAAATACTGTAAATAAACTATTTTTAGTTAACTTAAAATGGTGATTTAGGTTTAGGGTGAGCAACCTTCATGATTTGTTACATCTGTGAATATTTGTAATGCAAATGTAATGTAATATTTGTAATGTTCGTATCTGTGAACGTTCACAGTTTGAATGTTACTAAGTCAGGAACTTACTGTATTTCATCCAGGCTACAAACTGGGTGCCACTCACACCCAGGGTGGAGCTTCCCATTGCCTACCCTCAGAGCAGTGCCTACCCAATCATTGGACTCATCTGATTACCACACCCTTAATTCATATTCATATACCCTTAATCCACATTAACACCCTAGATCCAGCCACCTCCCAAAAGCCCCACCTATGAGCACATGAGGCTTTCAGGGGACGTCTAGATACAAGCCATAATACCATATGATGTATTTCCTCCTTCAGCTGTTTCTTTGACATACGTCATATTGAAATTTATTCTCTAGTAACTACTTGGCCTCCCTCTTCTTCAAAACTTTTAAGATTCATTTTTTTAAATTTACTTTAATTTTAAAAATACTCAAAATGTTTAGGTTTCTAAAGGAGTAATAGAAGCATCAACACTCTAGGTTATCAAATAGAAATATAAGCTGTAATTTTGTTTTAAGTAAGTAATATATATTAGGATATAATATAGACTGTTGCTCTGGTTTGCAAGGTTCATCACTAAGAAAAAAAAGGAAATAGGATATGGAAGGCATACTAATTCTTTTAAATTATGACCTAGAATTTTAATAATATATTTTCTTCTGGTCACATCTTTTTGGCTTGAACATAGCTATATGACCACACTTAACTAAAATAGAGGCTGGAGAATATATTGTTTGTTCTGAATGACTTTGTTCTTGGACAGAACTTCTATTACTGTACAAGAAGAATAAAATGGTACTCTTGATACATGTACATAACACATCTTTTTTTTTTAATCCCCTCCATTGTATTCCCTCCCCTTCTCTCCATTTCTTGGTCCCCTTCCCATATGCAAAAGATTTGTATGACTATTTCATATTACCTTTTATTTTGCTCTTTACAGCAATACCTTGGTTCCAGATGCTTTGTTTGCAAACAATTTGATTCTCCAAGAAAAGCATTTGGCAAAACTTTCCTCCCATTTGCAAACTGCACGTCAAGTGATAAACATGGCCATGGCCATCTTCTCCACACAAACACAAATGCATCCATCTTCCCCAAAATTGTAAAACTAATTAAGTTTGTAAACTGAGGTACCACTGTGTTTATATTTTGGGGTTTTCATATAAATGAAACCAGGTGTGTCTGATTTATTTCACTTAATATTATGGTATCAAGGTGTATCCATTTTCTTGCAAATGACTGAAATTTATCATTCTTTATGGCAAAGTAGTATGCCATTGTGTACAAATACCATATTTACTTTATTCATTCATTTGTTGAAGGACATGTGGGCCACTTCCAAGATTTAGCTATTGTGCATTATGCTGCTATAAATAAAAGTATGCATGTATCACTACAGTAGGATGTCTTTAACTCCATTTTTCATGTTCTTTTGTTTTTAAGGTATTTCTCAGTGATTAGTCTTTGAAAGCATCTTTATCTTCTAATTCTGATATTCTGTCCTCTCATTGGTTGCTTCTGCTGCCTATACTTTGAATGTAATTTTTAATCTCCTGAATTTCTGTTTAGAATCTTTTCATGGACTGTAAGGTTTTTTGTTTCGGTTTCTTTTATTTATTTACTTTTTTCTGAGACAGAGTCTCACTATGTAGCCCAGGGTGGCCTCGAACTCACAGCAATCCACCTGTCTTAGCTTCATGAGTCCTGGGATTACAGGTGCACACCACCACACCTGGCTCATGGACTCTTACTTCTTTGCTAAACTGGCCCTTTATGTTTCGTATCATTTTATTTAGCCCAGCTAACTTTTTTTGGTGTTTTGAGACAAGATCTCACTATGTAATTCAGACTGACCTTGAACTCACTATGTAGCCCAAGCTTCCCTCACAGTTGTGGCAATCCTCCTGCCTCAGCCTCCTGTGCTGGGATTATAGGCATGCACCACCATTCCTGGCTTTAGCTAGCTTTTAATTAGTGTCTTCTGTAAGCTCCCTGATCCTTTTATTACATCCATTATATGTTTGGTTATATCTTTTGTCACCCTACCTAGTACCTTATCGGTCTGTTTGTTACTCTCTTGTTATCCTTTCAAGTAATTTGGCTGTATGACTTTTGCTTTCTATCTCCTTAATGCCCCATGGATTATCTTTGGGGGAGTTAGGGGTTTTGGGAGGCATTTTGTTGCCTTGTCTTCTCATATTTCTATTGTTTTTTGTTTGTTTTGTGTTGTGTGTAGGTCTGTGATATCCTATAGTGGAAAGACTTTGTTACTAGTATGGAGACCTCTTTTGTGTGCTTTCCAGTGATGCAATCAGGGCATGGCTAACTACAGCCATGGCTTGGGAGCACATACTGGGGATTGAATCCTGGGTCTCGTGCATGCTTTTAGTAGACTTTCTACCCTGAGCTATACCCACAACCCCTTTATCTGACTTTTTTTATATTATTAATTTTATTGGTACATTTTAGGTATGCAATATAGTGACATTCATCATTGGGAAATGGCACCTTTACATAATCTATCTTGGTTCTTATTTTTTTCCCCATTCCCCTGACCTCCTTTCAACCCTGCCGCCCCTCCCTGTTCACAAAGATTTTGTTTCCATTTTTTTCATTTTCTCATATTAATCCCATTCCCTTCTATCCTTTCCCCTACCCTTCCCACTTTCTCTTTCCCTTTGCCCCTTTTCTTCCTATTTCACATTGTCTGTTTTACATTTTAGTCCTTATTTACACTTTCAGTTTCTCACACCAGAGAAATTATTCTGTATTTACACATGTGTGTCCTGTTTATTTCGCTTAACAGTATTTCCTTAGTGTGCATCCATTTAGCTATAAATGCCTCTAATTTCTCATTCTTTATGGCTGAGTAGTATTCCATTTTATAGAAAAACCGCATTTTCTTTATCCAGTCTCCAGTTGATGGGGAGTTGGGCTGTTCTCAAGTTTTAGCTATCATAAACTGCTGCTGTGAATGTGGGTGCACATATATCACTGTGGTATGATTCTTTTAATTCTTTCGGGAAGATACCCAGCAGAGGAATATGAATGCTGAGTTAGTTGATTTTCAGCCTGCCTTTTCTAGTATATGCATTAAAGCTATAATTTTTCCTGTAAGTTCAGCATTATCTGTAACTACTAGGGTTATTTATTTACTTATTTAAGTTTTGGTACTGGCCATTGAACCCTGGGTCTCAGGCATACTAAGCACATGCTGTGCCACCGGGATACAGCCCTGAGCCACATTACTTATTTTGGTGTCTTGTATTTTTAATATTCCATTAGACTGTTTTCTCATTGCTGTTTTTTAGTTTTTCCCATGAACTTGAAAAACTGGTTTTGCCTAATTTCTGGATTTTGGGGAATTTTTCCTACTTATATTTCTATTATTTCTGCCTCAATTTTACTGTGGTCTATTACTATATTCTGGTTTTTATCCTTTGAAATTTATTGACTTTTTTATTGCCCAGGAGATGGAGATGTCTTTTTCTTTTGTTTTGTTTATGAAAAAAATATATTTTGTTGTTTGGAGTAGCACTCTTTAGGTCAGTTTTGTTTTTAATGTTGTTCGTATCATCTGTACTTAATTTTTTTAGTCTGTTCTATCAGTTACTGAAGAGATCTATTATCTGTTTTGATTGTGAATTTCACTATTTTTACTTGTAGTTTTGTTAATATTTACCTCATATACTTTGAAGCTACAACATTAAGATGTATACTCACAATTGGAATTATTAAATCTTGGAAGATTTAACTTTTAAATTATATGACTCTTTAGCTCTTAAGTGATTCTTAAAGGCTGCTTGGTTGCCATTAGTATTGCCATGTCAGCTTTTTGGGACTATTTGTATGTCATGTTGTTATTGGATAGCTTCCTTCTAAAAAGTGCCTTGCCAACTAAATGTTACAGGGTTTGGAATTGCTTGCTCTCTTTCCAGACTTGGATTCCGATTTCTTCTTGTATTAAACAAAGAATTGAATGAAACTAGCAAAAAGCAGTGGCA